AACACATTTCTTAACTACTCGTACACTTAGTCAAGTATTGTAGCTAGTTAACCAAAGGTCTAACTTGTTACATTACAACATAATATAAATTGAACAGTAAAGCATAAATACTATGATAATTGCAAAGAGAACTATACAAAGTATGTATATTACTTTTGTTTCTTGAAGGCAATTACCCATTGAACAGATAAAAATTATTACAATGATTATTAAATATAATAATTGTGAAGCATCTAATAATTTATCTCTATGACCTATAAAAGAATTAGTTGCAGGATTTGAAGTTGTAGATTGAAATAAGAAAAAAAATACCAAGTAAAAATTTGCCTAATTTAAGTAAAAATAAAAAAATTAAATAAATAATATAAATAGATACTGATCTTTGACTAAAAAATTAACAAATATAAGGTCACACCACAGATCCAGGTATTTGAAAACTCCCTTGTATATTTTTATGCGCCCTTGTATAATTAGGTATAAAATATGCAATGGGTGTATAAAAATATACAAGGGAGTTTCTAAATACCTGTACCTGAGGGGCCTTATATTTACCTAATAAGTATTAGTTTCCTAATATCATATTTACCAAAGAAAACCAATTAAAGATTAATTGTATACTATTATAAATAAATTGAATTTGTAATAATATTTTGCGATATAGTGGCTGTCCAGAACTCCAAATTTAAGTAAATGTGACAATAGAATAGAAAGCAGTAAAAAAATAACTTTCAACCAGTGATGATGCTGAGAAATAAATTCAGGCACATTTTTTGGGACATCATTTTCTGCCTTAGCTGACTAAACAAATAATAAGTTAAAAATTTGTAAATATTAGCAATTCTCAGTAACAAATTATAGTAATTATTTATAAGTAAGTTAGGATTTAGAGTTAAAATAATTAATAAAAGAGTATATGTAGATTTTGGTTAGGCTTATATTTCAAACTGAGACTCCAAATTTCATGACGATCTGATTTTATAATAATTTTAACAATAAATAATATAATATATTAGTTTGATTACCTTTATATATTTTAATTTCCATGATTCGTGTTTCTTAATGATAAGCTCTAAACTTAAAATATGACCTTCTACTAGGTCCATATTTGCTTCGAAAATACCAGTCTTAGTATACATGATTTTACCTTTTAAGTATGATTTCAAAGGTTCATTTATTAATGCTTAGTATCTATATACAGAGAAAGCACCTGATAATATTTATATGTAACTAAAAAAGATTTAAAGAGCTTGTCTACGATATTAGACATTTTATATTCAAAATTTTGAGATGCAACTAATGGATTTAGAAGATTTCTCTATTTACAACCAAGGTCTACTTTTATTTCTTCACAAGTCCTACCAATATGAGGATCACAGTCAAAAGCTGAAAAAATCAAATAAATAAATAGTAACTATACACATTAATATATATATATTTCTGTAAATACTTCATATTTGAATACGTGAAAAAGAAATCATTAATTAAAAATTTAGGCCCTAAAAAATTATTAGCATTTTGGTAATTTTAGTAATAAATTATCATATTTCACTGAAATTATCAAAATGCTGATTATACTTTTTTAGGGTCCAAATTTTTACTTACTGAATTTCCCTCCTGAGCACTTATTTATAAAAATTAAATATTAATATACAGTATCTTTCCAAAGATGATAAATTGAAGTATATGAAGGTTTGGTGACCACATCAAGTAAAATACAAATTTTTGGTTTCAAAAGAGGAGCAAAAGTATTGAAAGACTAATGATGAGAATTCAATTTCTTTTCATTTTTTTTTAAACAAAACATAACCTGAACTGGTGGAATATTATTGTTTTTTCCTTGAACATTAAAATCATTATCGACTATTAATTGTGTAGTATATTCAAAAAGATGCACAGTAATAGGTTTTTTTCCAACACGATCTTGCATAATTTCATCTTGATAACATCCCATGATACTCAGAACATTTAAAATCCTTTTATTGATTTTATTACAACCATCGGAAACAATTAATACAACAACTTTTTTCTAACCTTCACTTTCCCATCTGTTTTTAGAACAAATATAGGCCACATTTTTGATGATAGAAGACATTGTTTTAATGAAAAGAGTATCATTTTCATTATACATTGTAATAACAACCATTATTTCAGTATCTTGATTATAATTATTTTGTTGAATTGAATATTTCTTTTATACAAACTTATTCAGATTGCTTGTAATTGTGGTGTATCTTATATATGTAAATTCTTCACTGTATTTGAAGAAAATATTATGAAGAATCGTATTAGGTACAGGAAAGTCAAATACCAAGATTCCTTTTGTAAGCTTGACATCCTAAGAAAATATAAATAAAAAATAAATTTCATTAAATAAACAGTGAGATTTGTAAATCAATATTACCTTCTTGCATTTGGTTGCTTTGATTTGATACATTGCAAATTTTTAAGAACAAAATTAATATTAATTTTTTTGTTAATGAATTTAAAAACCAGAATATTTACCTTATTTTGGCATAATTAAAAGAACACTCATTTCAAAAAAAGTGTAAGACCAGTTTTATTTTTTAATTTTTGAATTCCTGAATGTATATGTTAAAATTCAATTAATTGGTTAATGATAATTAAATGTTTAATTGAAACTTTTCAGATAGGTGAATAAATTTAATTTAGAAATATTTTTTACTTTTCAATTATTTATCTATTTTAAATCATAATTAAGAATATTGATTTTGATATTATTTCTTTTCAATTA